AAAAAAAAAAAAAAAAAACAGACGCTCCCAATTTGAAGACCCAATCCAAAAATGGGCATCTGAAATGAATAGACATTTCTCAGATGAAGAATTTCAAACAACAAATAAATATATGAAAAATGTTCAAGATCACTGATCACACAATAAATGCAAATTAAAATAACACTGAGATTCCATCTCTCTCCAGAAAGAATCTATCATCAAGAAATCAACCAGTAACAAATACTGGAGAGTTTGTGGGGAAAAAGGAACGCTTCCCCATTGCTGGTGGGAGTATAAACTGGTACAATCACTATGGAAATCAGTATGGGGTTTCTTTAAAAAATTAAAACTAGAGGGTTGAGGATTTAGTTCAGCAGTTCTGCCACCTGCCTTGCAAGCATAAGGTCCCGAGTTTGATCCCCAGTACCAAAAATAAATAAATAAATAAATAAATAAATAAAACTAGAGGCTCCATTTGATCCAGCTCTTCCTCTCCTAGGTATCTTCCCAAAACAGTTAAAAGCATCATACTACAATATTATATGCATATCTGTGTTTATGGCAGCACAATTTATAATAGTTAATCTTGGAAATAGCCTATAAGCCCATTAAAACATGAATAGACAAAGAAAATGCGTTATTTATATACACAAACAGTGCTGGGATTAGAGATACAGACATTCCTCATTCAATTGCGGTTCTGGGACTAGGTCTTTAAATGAATTGGTCACTAAATGAGGAATATCGTTATGTATATAGCATGTTCATCCTGGTAGTTGGGTTTAATTCTTTCCTTGTCTTCACCTTCCACATCCATCCTGGTATACTTCCTTCCATTAGACATACTGTTGTCTCCCTAAAATCTATTTATCGAAGCATTTGGAGTGATCTTTTAATAATGTCAATCATCTTTTCACATTCCTTCCCCCTCACTCACTATGTGCCAGCAGCTCTGAACTCCCTTGAACGTAGTCTCTATGTTCTTCCCTCTCCTACTCACTTTCATTCTTCACATTGACTGACTGATATGCAATACTGGGGATTAAATGCAGGACTTTCACATTGAGCTACATCTCCAGCCCTTTCTTATTTTTCACTTTGAGACAGAGTACTGCCAAGTCACCAAGTTACCAGGGTGGACTCAAATGTGATTCTTCTACCACAGTCTCCCAGAGTAGTGGGGTTACAGATACAGACATTCCTTGTTTAACTGTGGTTCTGGGACTAGGTCTTTAAATGAATTGGTCACTAAATGAGGAACAGTTATTTATATAGTATGTTCATTACAATATTCAGAAGAAAGAAATCATCAAAGGAAACTGACTGGATGAATGCTTTTATTTGTATACCTCATATAAAGTACTGTAACATATAACACAACATAAAACTACTGTACTGTACTGTGCAATACAATCTGTAAACTTAAGAGGACTATATAGGACTGGGGATTCAGTGCAGTGGCACCACACCTGCCTCAGAAGTACAAGGTCCTGAGTTTGATCCCCCGTACCAAAAAGAAACAAACTTATAGTACTATATAAACAAAGTGTACTATACAAAAAATGACATTGAGGCTTTATAAATATGATGTACAGAACTGTACAAAAATTAAAAAGACAGTCATAAATTCAAGTGGCAGGCTGTGATTTGGACAGCATGCCTCAGGTAAGTCCAGTCGTTGGTCATTAAAGGAGGAATATCTATACCACAACTTGTTTAAGTATCATCTCCATAGGAGGGCTCTTCCCTATGACTCTGTATGAATAAGCCATATTGTATTATTTCTTTTTTTACACTTTACAAGATTACCTATATTTAAATTTGTTTATTTTTCTTTGATTACTATTGGCTTCTCCAACCAAAATGTAAACCTATGTCTTATCATTGAGTATGCAGGAGTTCCTGTCACAAGATAAGCACACAAAAAGTATTTGTTGAATGGATAAATGTCAGTTCAACATATGCCAGGTCTTTCTTTCTTTGTTAACCTTAGGCAAACATCCCAACGTTCTTCAATTAATATTTAACTACTATCAAACATGTGTCAAGTAATATGAAAGAAGCTAGGGCCATAAATATGTAAAAGTCAACCTACAAATCTAAAACAGATATAGATATACAAAGCTATTTAAAAAATGTAGTCAGATACTACAAGAAAAACAGTATGAATGATGTATGCCACCCATTACATAGAGATATAACTCTAGACATAAAGTAATAAGGAACTACAGCATGGGCAGCTAGGTTCTGAAAGATGAATAGGCCTCTGACGATAAGATGAGTCACAGGGCTTTAAGGAGGAAGGAAGCGCTTGAATAAAGGTGTAAAGATGAGAAAACATGATGATTAGAAAAGAGCAAACTGGTCATCAGGACTGTGGGCTGCAGTGAAAGAGTGGCAAGACAAGAGGCAGCAGGGCAGGCTGGGCAGTGTGTTTCATACCTAGCTAAGGATGGAACTGATAAAGTTCTTACTTATGAGCCTGGATAGGTTTCCAAATTGTGGTTCTACAAATATGAATTGGACCACAGTATGGGCAATGATTTTAGAGTTTATACACAGATCAGGCAAAAGATGTAAGGTATATAAAGTTGGATTAGGTAGAATAGGGTCAACCAGAGTAAAAAGGAATGAAAGGATATAAAAAACATGGCAAAACAAAAGCCAACAGCAGTATTTCTCAATTTTTTTTTCCTCTCATTGAGTTTATTGGCACATTTTAGGTATACAGTATAGTTACACTCATCATTGGGATCTTGTACCTTTACATAACAGGTCTTGGTTCTCATTTTTTCCCTGTGTCCCTGCCCTCCCTACACCCGCTCTTCCCCTCCCCATTTACAAATACTTTCAATTTGTTTTTTTGTTTTTTTGGTACTGGGGATTGAATTTGGGTCCTTGCGCTTGCAAGGCAGGCCACCGAACTGCTGAGCTAAATCCCTGGCCCCTCAATTTGTTTTTGTTTGTTTGTTTTTTAATTTTTTTTTAAATTGAATTTATTGGTACATTCTAGGTAGACAGTACAGTTACATTCATTACTGGGATCTTGTACCTTTACATGACAGGTCTTGGTTCTAATTTTTTCCCCTTGTCCCCACCCTCCCTTTACCCCCTCCTTCCTCCCCACCTAAAAGCACTTTAATTCCATTTCTACATTTGCTCATATTTTTTTCCTTTCCCTTATTCCCCTTCACCTACCCTTCTCACTGTCCCTACACCTTTAGTCCTTTTCTTCCTATTTCACATTGCTAATTATCCCATTAGGATCTTGAGTACTATTTTAGTTTTTCACACCCTCAATTTGTTTTTTAATGTTTTAAACTGTCATGGAATAAGTTTTGTAAAATGCAATAAAAATGAACTTTTAGAAAAATAAAATATGAAATGAAACAATATAAAATTTAAGCTCCATGTTTTTATGATTATTCAATAGGCATAAAATTGACTTTTTAAATGGCTACAAATGATCTGAAATGTTTACTGTCAATCTCTGTACTTATCTCATCATGGCTTAGTAACAGTAGGTTGGCTGCAGCCTGAAAACTTCACTTTGAGTAGCATCTTTAATATCATGAACACTGTCAGTAAATGGATGCTCTAAAGGTCAAAATCCATGCAGAGATTGCTTATTTGGTAATTGTAAGAACTGTAGTACCATCAAATGAGGAAGTTTGATGGGGGAATGTGTGAAAAAATTTTACAAGAGTAAGAACACTTTCCTTGTTTTATTTTACTATACTATAGCAAAAAAAAAAAAAAGAGGAACTACTAATTTTTAGGAAGCCTAAAGTTCACATCAAATATCAGAGGTTAAAGCAAACTACTTAAATATTTTAAAATGAGTGATTATACAAAGCCACTTGAAGTAAGGTATAATAATGATACAGAGCTTTGGCCCTTTATATTAATATAAATTACTTTCTCTTTGACAGACACATGCACATGAAACTCTACTATTTTGAGAAATGTCTTTGATGGTGGGCCCACAGTGATTTAATTGTCCTTATGTTCCTTAAATCTGTGATATAAATCTTGGGTCACCAGCTGTAGACAAAGAACTCTTCCATTTAACTTGACATTAGAGATTGATGATGCTTCAAGTATAAGCCCATGTTCTTAATAATGAGGAAGAACAGAGCTCCCAATGGATATAAAAAATTGAAATCAGTGTCATGAGAAATGATAAATTTAGGCAAGTAAAGTAGCAGCAGTATTGCCAAAATTAGATGGTTAAAAAAGAAAAAAAAAATAAGCCTACAACAAAAAAAGTTAAAGATGCTTGCAATTATCTGCAATAAATGACAGCCATGACAATCATAATGGAATAACTTATATAATAATCACACACTAATTAAGGCAGTTGATATCCTACACAATCTTTGAAAAAAACCAATCAAAGATACAAACTCTAGAGATGACACTTGATAATGTAATGATATTTGTGGTAGTATTTTTATGATGCTATTGTTCATTCATCTCAAAAATAATGAAAGTTTAAACCACAAAATTTTAGAGTTTAGGTAAATATAGTTCCTTTTTAGGACCTGGCTGGTAAATTTTAAAGATAATAGTCATTATTGCTGATTTAAAAATAAATAAATAACTCAAAACATCTTCTTTAGCTTACCCAAATGGATCGCCAACCACAAGGAATGCAACTTCATTGGTATCGGCATCCTTTAAAATATTATCTGCTTCTTGTTCCACTTCTTCTCTATCAGCAAGAATCAATTTTCTGCCATAAAATTCTTCCTAGATATTTAAGACCAGTATCAAAATGAGAGACAGCAGGTAACCATTTCAACACAACATAAAACAATCTTTGGAGCTGGTACAACTCTTGACAACCATCCAAACACAGATCATTCACTACAACTCATCAATGAGCTAGCACTCTCTATCATGTTGCAATTAAACTCTGTCTTTGGGGCTCTTAATATCCCAAGAGGAAGCAGACTTCTTAACATCTGAGGCTTTTTACATTTTAAATTTACCTTTAAATTTGGCTTATAATAGCCCAGGCAAAATATTATAGAAGAAACACAGAATATGCATGCATGAGCCCTACTTTAGAAACATGGCAATAGAGACTAAATATATATATCAATCAATAACGACAAACATACATGGTAATTAAGGAAAATTTATGGTCCCTGGCTAAAATAATAGGCAACATCAATGAGAAATAATAGAAAATTATGACTTAGCTATTTACAGAACCAGATTACATTCCTACATAATTGCATGAAAGACATATTTAAAATTATATTCCCTTGTTTCTGCTAAAAGACAGTTGCAGGGGAAAGAAATGAATTCTAAATATGCAGGAAGTTTCCATACAAACTTCTTTGTAAATTAATCCCCTGAATTTCAACTCTAGAAAACACCCCAGGAGAGAGTTAGCTAGTAAGGTGATGGTCATATGGTACTGGTAATGGGCTAGTATTCAAGATCATGAAATTCTATGGAGTAATATGCAATTCAAATGAAGTAAAAGTAGATGCATAAACAAAACTGCCTTACACTCAGAAATTGCATTTATTAAAAGGTATAGGTACTGTTGTTCAAGAGTATCTGGTACTCAATATTGTCAATTAGTCAAACGAGTAAATGAACAAATGATTAAGCATCCATTGACACACACTAGTTCCAAAACTTATAATTATTTCCTAATACTTAAGCAAAATCTCTTCCTCAATTATGAAAAAAAATTCTTTTCTATAGAAGTTTCCAGATACAATATTTTAATAGATGAAAAATGCTAGTTTTCACTTTTACCATGTACTTTTTTCTTAAAATTTTTTACATGCTTTCACTTTATGAACCAGAAAGCTTAATAGTTGCAGAATATTTATATTTACACATCTAAGAGAACACACACTTGATTACTGGAAACTGAAGAAAATCATGGCCTTCACTGAACTTCTAACATTTCTCATATTTTGGGGGTTTTGGTGTTGTTGTTTTGTTTTGTTTTTGAGATCAGGTCTTTTCCAGTCTGTCCTAGAGCTCGTTATATAGTCCAGGCTAGCCTTGAAATTGCTGTAGTCTTTCTCCTGGCTCCAGAGTGCTGGGATTACAGGTATGCGCCACCACCCCTGGCAACTTGTAACATTTTTTTTAAAGACCAAGAAGCTATATGCCACTAGTTTAAAGTTAGCAATAATCTTAACCTGTATTTTATAAATGATCTGACAAAAAAAAAACCCCACTCTCAATATTTATATTACTCTATATTTAACTTACCACTTTTCCTAACCTAAGAAACACTTCATGGTCTAAGTAAGACAATACACATTGATATGAAACATTCTGTTATAATCAAATGGCTAATCCTTTTGAAAAATGTTTATAAAGGGAAGAGATAGAAAATGCAGTAAGATTAGCATTATATTATTTTTGTTTATTCATCCAGTCATTCATTCACCCACTGTAACAGTATTTTTTATACACATCTTCCACACCAAACTCTAAGCCTGATGCTAGGAGACAATGGTATTGACACACTTTGCCCCTGTGCTCAAGGGAGGGAGAATTGACTACTATACCATATCATAGGTGCCACAGACACCTCCTGCCAAGTAACAGGCCAGGGAAGAAAATAGGGCTGTATTATTTAACATACGATTTTAAAGTTGGATTATATATTATCCAATGATTGAACCAGATTTTGTATAATCTCAGCCCCAACCTTTTCTACTAATGAAAATGAAGGTAAAAGTAAAATTTCATTTTTGCCTTAAATTGGCAGTTAGATGGAGTATGTTAAATTTATTTTCAGGTATTTGTGGAAGGATATACAAGAAATTAGTAGTGATGGCCTTCAGGAAGGGATGCTGGGATAGAAATCTTTTTCTTGCATGTGTCTTTGTACTTTTATATTTCACACTATTTAGTGGATTAGTCAATAAAAGTAAAAGTAGAGGTTCAAAATAGTATAAAGCAGATGTGAGAACAAAAAAAAATCTTAAAAATAATAAGATTTAAACAAGAAACAGAGAAGTTTACCAAAGGAGACTGAGAAAAAATGGGAAACAGAAATAAACTAAGAGAAACTCATGATACATAAACCAGTTTCAAGAAATGGTCAACTACATCAAAATAAGTAAGACAGAATTTGAAACTAAAGTTCTTGGCTGGGTAAGAACTGTTAAAAAAATAAAGAAATATTTCTGGAAAAGGCAATCAGCCTTCAGGAGTAAGTCATGACTGGAAATGGAGACAATGAAGCCGTACCTTTTCAAGCAGCTTTGGACAAAAAAGAAGATAAAATAATAATTATGGGGAAAAGAGGTTTAAAAGAAGAGACTTTTCAAATAATCAATGATTGAATATGGTTTCAGGAAGAGAGAAGGGTGTTAACATAGGCTGAACATAAAGAAGAAAGAATAATGATGTAGGGCTTCAAAGAAAAGGGTTTTAAAAACACACCTAGATGGAATTACATCTTGAACAGGAAAAAATCCTCATCTTACAAGTAATTTTCTCTAGAGAGAAGATAGATTCACATTCATTACAATGACAGATGAGAAATTAATAAATCTCATAGTAAAATGCTTTCCTTTTTCCAGTGTGAAGTCCTTTACTGTCTTTTTCTCGATATTCTCAATCTCGGTCCACACCAAAACAGGAGAACAAGGTAACAAAAGAGAGCTGGTATCCAGGTAAGGTAAGTTAGAAAGAGAAATGAAGGAACAGATACACTGACAGAAAATGAAGTAATTTCAGAGAAACCCAATGTCAACATCAGCAAATATTTTTGCTTTCCTCCTCCATGGTTTGTTCACAATTATTTTCCCTTCAGGGAAGAATGCTCTTCCTTTTCCCCTTACTAAATATTGTCTATAATAACAATATTTGTACTAATACATTTATGTTGGGGTTACTCTATTATCAGCTACTGTTCTAAAAACTTTATGCATATGAAGTTTCCTTTAATCTTCACCTCATTCTAAGGCACTATGTTAATACCCATTTTATAGACAAGAAACAGAGCATGGAGGGCCGAGGATCTAGCTCAGTTGTTCCACTGCCTGACTCAAAAGCAAACAGCAGTCCTGAATTCAATCCCCAGTTCAAAAAAACAAACAAACAAACAAACAACAACAACAACGAAAAAACAGAGCATGGAAATGTTTAGCAATTGCTCAAGATCAAACAATCATGTTTGCAGAACTTCATGTGTGCTACAAAATGGGTGAAGACTTAGCAATCTCTTTTTGCAAAGTAGCTGGTACTCTAATTAGTCTTCTCTGGCTCTGAGTAGCTTTTCCATCTACTCTGCAGGAGAAAAAAATTATCATTTGCTATTTAAAGATTATAATGCAAATAAACAAATAAAAACACTGTGATATACTTTAGCTCAAATTCCTTCTAGTCCTCACCACCACAGCCTGAACTGATTTCTCTCACATGTATTCCAAAAATAATTAATAACTAGTAATTATTTCACATTTGGGACAGTTTCTATTTCTTACTTGATGACAGCTATATTGTTGCTTTGAACAGACATATAATTTCAAAATCTCTCCTTCCATTTCTTTTCTGTATTGTTACTTAAATCTTCCATTGCTACTTAAGTTTTCCTGCATATAAAGCAGATGAATCATGAATCACATGTTTATGCTTCTTTATGTAATGAACAGATTCATTACACTAAACAGATATATATGATCATAATTTATCCACAGAAAGTGCCTAAAATATTCAAGTTGAGTATACTAAAACTCTTTCCTAAAAAAAAAAAAAAAAAAAAAAAAAATCTTTCCTGGATTTATTGTCCTTAGATTAATTTACTTTTGAATAGAGGACATATAAATAGTATTACCTGTTTGGCAATTTGAAAACAGCTTTCAATTTAAGAGGAGATAAATTTCAGATTTCTGTAGCAATTTCTATGTCTGCCTATTATATGATATTATGTTTATTGATAAAATAAGGCACACGTTGACTATAGAAAATAGAATTTTCTACTTTTTCTCACTGTGTAATAATTATTTGTAGTTAAGATTAGACTGTACATATGGAAATGTAGGTCCATATATATTTTTAAAGCTGTTTGTTTTAAAGAAGAAATATAGAAATGAAGGGAAGAAAGTAGTTGAAGAAAAAATGATTTTGAGATTTCACCATGTAATAGAAGGTAGAAATTTATTTATATCCTACTTTAATCCAGAATTAATTCACTCAAGATAGATGAAATTGCTCAGGGAAAAACATAAACTGCGGTCCTAGAGAACATGACCAGCATACCCAAAAATGAGATCTAGGACAGATTATTCTGCTTGAAACCTATCTTCTCTGTAGATGTTTTCTAAAATTATACTTTGTGTAGCTATTATCTATCCCTAAAAAGGGAGAGATCCAGTACACTATGGAAGTCAAGAGTATTAGATCTCAACCCAGGACTGCTTTGGTTCATATACTCTACCATTCACTACTTGTATGATCTTGGGCAAGTTTTGACTCCTCTTTGCCTGTCAAATATATATGACAACTACAGAGTAATAATCATATTCTACACATAAAGCATTTAAAGCAGTACAAATAAATGTTTTATAATTGTTATTATTATGGAAGAATTAATTCTTATGTTTTAACAAAGTATACATAATTATCTACAAGTGAGGTTGGGCCCCAGCCCCCGATCTCAACTCTGTAGGTAAAAACTCCATTAGTATTAAAAAAAAGAAAGAAAGAAAAAGAAAAAAGAAATTTCAAAACTGATGGCACCAAAATATTTAGAAAACATAAATTTTATAAAACATTATCATATGCATCTTAATAAAAACCTATATAACTATCCAATTATCTCGAGTAGACAAATGAAGAAAGTGATGTTCAGAAGTTTAGAAATGTGTCCACTGACAACTATCTTTTCTGAACACTTTTCTGCCAGTCACGAGAAGAGACTGTAAGACAGAGATTTTTTTTAACCTATATTACACAGCAAGAAATTAAAGGACTTTTCTAAAACTGTGTAACAGAACAAAGACAAACCAGGTGAAAACTTTCCTCTATATCATGCTCTGACACCTTATTTATAAAATTCCTAATTTGTTATTTGTTCTATTCTCTTAAAACAATCTTAAATTTATTCTAGTTTTCCTTGCTCACCCATCAGAGAGATCTATTTTCCATTATCTTGAAATTACACAATTTGGTTCCATCTACAGTATAAAACCGAGGTCAACAAATCAGTCAGTCATTAGACAAATTTTATTTCAATGAATGGCTATTTTAAGTAGCAGTCCTTAATTTCTTCAAGATTTTAAAGTAATTCTGAAACCTTCAGAATTCTCTGGGCTGTAAATCTGAGAGGATTGAGACCTGAAATTCTGTAAGTCTATCTTTTGTTTGGAAGACAAAAGTAACAAAGACAATTCTAAAAATCTGCTCCCTTGCCCCACATGTCCATCAATCTTTTGATTTTAATCTATATTCTCCTTGGAGTTTAACAATGAACCTGAAACTAACCCTTCCTCTAAAATTTACTGAGCTCTTAATGAGGATGTGCTAAATGTATAATACGCTATCAAATCCTCTGGTTACTTAGTCCCAGGTTCACTCAATAGGCATAGACCTTACTGGGAGATGCTGCTTAAAGATCTCTCTGGATATGTTACAGACAGAGAGGCAATCAGCATTCCCTCTGGAAATACTTCAAAGGGGAAAGCTTTCAGCTTGGTTCCTGAATATATAACCAACTCATTAAGACAGGGTCAGCCACTCATTAGTATTCAACTCAAAAAGGATTCCTTGGCTATCTCATGAAATAAGGGATTTTGATAACTACTCCCCCATGTAAAACAACGTTCCTTTTTTGTTTGCTGGAGAAAGCCACAAAATTAGACTTATAATGCAGGTCAAATCATTCTTTAATTTTGATTTCCATTCTCGTACTTCTCGGGTCCTTTATTAACAGGAGATACATGTTAAAAGGTTTTACAAAGCAGACATGAAAAGTTTCATTCAACTTAGTGTACGAAAATCAGATATGAGACAGTTTTCTTCCCAAGAGGCCGGGGAACCTTAATCACCTACCAGGGCTTCCTTCCCCACAGTCAGGATTGAGGTGTAGGCTTCCAGATACACTCGATTGCAACGTCTTACAATTTCCAGGCCCTTGACTGTGATGTCCTTGGCATCTCCCAGACCCAAGCCGATCAGGTAAAGCATTTCGAATTCCTGGGGGTAAGGAGACTGGAGGACGAAGTGAACAAGAAAAATGTCAGCTACACTGAGGACTCCTGAAGTCTAGATTTTCCTTCAGAGGGACAAGACACGAGTGAGGTTTGAGGACACATATCACACTTCTCAAGTACCGAACGGAGCAGTGTTTTAAATAACCCTACGAGCAGGTGGACCGATTACCCGACAACAGAACTGTAGGTGGTTCACTGTCCTCCTCAAAGTGCCAACAGCGCCTTTCGACACAAGGAGCTCCTAAAAAGGGCGCACGGCCCGGCCACTGTAGAAAGCCCGTCGCCCGCGACACCTACGGTGTGCCGCAAAACGCCCGCGCTTTACTGCATTTTTACGACTAAGCGGAGGGGGTGAGGGAGCGGCATTCCAGACGCTGAAACCTAGAACCCAGCTCGGCTGACAGTGAATGATTCACGGCTTGTTGGGGATGGAAGGCGTAGAGTGTGGGCCGGCGAGTCGGTGGGGCGCCCCCAGCACGGCCTTTGGGGAAGGACCGGCCTTCCTACCTCGCCCCCTTCATGGTCCCGGGTAAGTTCCGTAGCTCTTCGACCCGGTAAGCGGGAGCGCAGGGGGCCGCGCTCGGCGCCACCGGACTCTCCAAGGGGTGGTGGCTGGGAAGGGCTTTCCTAGTTTGCCCAAGCGCACGGATTTTAATCCCCGCCCTCTTCGACTATAATTGAACCAGCCACCTCGACTGTGAATGCGGTTCTGCAGTGACTTCGGGTTTGTCCCCGGGACCTTATGCCGGAATGCCCCCAAGGATCCGCTGTAGTCATCATCAGTGTCGGGAATTCCAGACCCGTGCCTAGAGAAATGACCTTTGAGGGTGCTCACGGATTTCAGACCTCCCTCAAATGGGTAATTCCTATCAAGTGGTTGTTCGGATGTCATTCCGGTATCAGAAAGGTTTTGGCTGAATGCTCTTTCTGAATCCACTAGTGAAAAAATAAAGTTCTCATGGCTTAACCGTATCTTGGTAGGCAGTGTTGATCCGAATTTTCCTTGTTCATTTCCCACAATACTACGTGTCGTGTGTGTTTTAGCACAATTCTCATTCCTTAAATCCTGGTTCTTTTCTTTCAAGAGTTCCGTCTGTCTTTTGCAATTTGTCATTCTGTACACTTCTAGGTGCAAATTCTGTGTGCACTCGCTACACTAATTTATTCCTCACACCACATTGGGGAGGCAGGGCAAGCAATGGCACACTTGTAATCACAACTACAGGGGAGGCTGAAACAGGAGAATCCGAAGTTAAAGGACAGCCTGAACAACTTAGCAAGCCCTTGTCTCAAAGAAATCAAAAGGGCTGGAGTTGTAAGTTGGTTGCAGGGCATCCCTGGGTTCAATACACAGTGTGTGTATGTGATGGAGTGGGTTAAACTTTACACAAACAAGAATTTCAAAAAGATGCTTAACATCATTAAACATTAAAAATATAAAAAATTAAACCAGGGCAAGAAAACACTGTATGCTTACTATAAAAATAAAACCCCAGAAAATTTGGCTATCCAGGTATCCCCTAATACTTTCCTATCTCAAGTTTCAACCTGTCATACAGGCTGCCCTTTTGTATCAGCTTTTTGCAGGGAATCTTCACCCCGACGCATATCAAATTCACATCCAAAGCTAAAGCCATCATGTTCCTTCCCATATTAGAGTTTCTCTCTGAATTATCTATGTGGTACACGAGGAGGGGGTATCAGCATAAATTTTCCCAATCCAGGCCCTTGTCAGTCACCCGGATATGCAGTCTGTCATGTCTGCTTTTAATAAAAACCATATCTACCCTACGGCCTTGTTTCAGACCCTCATTTTGTCTCTGCTTTAGCTGGTTAACATGTTTTCTTCACTTTCATCCTTTTATTAGTGGGCATGGAGTTCTAATAAAGAGATAGTCTAAAGATATCACTCCCATTCTAAAATCTTTTTGAGGCCAGGAGAAAGTCCAAGCTCCTTAACCTATCTCACAAGATCATCCATGGTATGGTTACCCCCCTACCTTTCTAGTCTTGTCTCTCTCCATCAAATGAGCTTTTTCTCCAGCAGTATTGATTGCCTGTAGTACTGTGCCCACAATGTGCTGCTTTGTACCTCTGTGCTGGCATATGGACATTGAATACCATCTCCCATTCCCACTTACCAAGTTAACCGTCCTTAAGCCTAGAAAGTCTTCCCAAAGATCTCCAAACCCCTAAACTGTTGGTGTCTTTATCGCACTAATGATCTGTCTGTAAATCAGTAGATTTACCTTTTTTTGTAATATCCTTCTGTATTTCTTTACTTATGTCATCAATTTCATGAAGTCAGGAACTGTCTTACTCATATTCTCTTTCCTAAGACAGCATGATGCCTGGCACATAATACATATTCAATAAATGCTTGTTTACAGGTCATTATATATACACTAGCAGCTGAGCAGTTTCTTTTGAGTTATGATGTGTTTTCTGCCTTAAATGCAGGGGTGATGTGTTGAAAAGTTATGATATGTTCAAAAAGTCATCGATGGAGTGTGAAACAAACTCATGCTACTTTTTAGGGAGCAATTGTATTGAAAGGTTCATGACACATGTCACGTATACTTCATATGCACACCATTGAACAGATAGAATTTTCAATATGCCAAAATTTTGTTTGTTATTTTCAGATTTTGTATGGTTTGAAGTAGAATCACAGTGAAAAGACATTGCCAGAAAGAATAAGTAATCCAAAGAAAGGAGTGCTTTATTTCCTTTTTGTATGCGCAAGGAATCAAAACACTACTTTTAGATGTAGAAGTTTCAGTTTTTGGTCTTTAAGATTCAACTCAAATAATTTATGCTATATAATCCTTAAGAAACCTATTTTTCTACCTGCCTTCATTCCTTACTAGGTGTATAAAATTTGGGGGACTTTGCTACAGGTAGATAGATAAAGGAGTTGTGGCAATCTTTTCCCTGCCCAGCTCAACAAATATAAGCAGCAGGGTTTTGCCTAGTCTTTTTTGCAGAACTCTTCTGTAGGATTTGGATGTTTCTCCCTTTAAAACAAGTTTCAAATATGACTTTTAGGAAAACTTTCAAATGTAGGAAATTTGAAACACAATAAGTGTTTGTGTTGCCACCTCCTAGGCTCTATAGTTGTTAACGGTCTGCTGTGTTTGCCTTATTAATCTCCCCAGAAATCAACTATTGTCTTTCTTGATGTATTCCCAAAGGAGTTTCAGGCATCCAGTATACATAATTATATTTTGCTTGAAAGATAAACTTCTTCCTAGGTAACAAATTAACACAATATATCCAGCATGTAGCTGATTAAATCTTACCATTTCTTCACCTTACTTAGGGTAAATTTGAAAATGTTTACCCTAAAATAATTTCAGATGTTTTTAATACATTGTAACATTATTGATAATGAAAGCAGCCATAATACTGATTTATTTATTATAGCACATTTGAATTCTGATGTGTAGCAGGAGGAGTGATTTTATAGTGCAGTGACTCCAGAACAAACATCGAATGAAAAAAGCCTTTTTTTAATTTAAAGAATTACAAGAATGAATGAGACCTAAAGAGTTTTCTACTTTATGCTCCTGCTTTTTGATAGAACTGCACAAAATCATCCCTGAAAGTGAGTATCCATGCATTTTCTGAAAGAGCTTTAAAAGATTTCTGTAATCTTTGTCACTAACTCATTTTTAAGACCCTTACTATCAGAAGTTCTTCCTTAATTTACCTTGAGGCAGTAGTCAGATACACACAGTCAGAAGTAAAAACCTGAGTTCATTGTCATAAACACGTATACTGCGTTTATTTTGAGATAATAACAGTTGAGATGGCAATGTGAACAAGTTGTAATTTACATGGCATCTAAAAACTAATCTTTCAAACTTCTTATTGGAGCTTGTTGTTTGTCTATTGAAAAGAAGCCATCGGGGAGACTGACTAAACTCTGTCTGACCTTATTGTTGATAGAGAATATTATTTTACTCTGAAGCTGGCCTTTTAACCTACATGTTCCCAGACATTGCCTTTGTTACAAGAAATCTTGATTAATTTTCTTAGAGTCTAGAGACCTTAAATTGATTGTTGTCATTTGCTAACAATTCATGAATAAGTGGTAATTTAAAATAGTACTGCTTTAGGAGGAGCTATGTTTACTAATGTTAAAAAAAAGATTTGAAATCAGTTTATTGTACATTTATTTACTTAGAAAAAAATCTTTTTGTTCAGTCATCTTGCCCATATTTCACATTATATAGTGATGTAAAATGCATAAATAAAAAATTTAGGGGTATTTTCTGTGAAAAATATGTAAAATTTTATTGTCATTAACTCCAGCTTAATAGGTTTGAGACTCACCATGTGGAAATCATCTAAAACCCTGTATGAAAGTAGCTCCCCTGTGTGTGTGTGTGCATTTGTGAATTGTTTGTGTTTGTTTCTAAGACATTCTATACTTGGTAGTTCCTTCAGAGTAATTCTGACTCTATTTCAGACTGCCAAGTGCTGGGACTACAGGCTTGTGTTACTGTACCCAGATATCCTTTAAATTCTAGTTTAGTAGCCCTTCATCCATGGTGTTTTTGTCATTTCATCTAAGTTGCAACTTCTTTCCTTCTCTTGATTTTTATTGATGTCTTAATATTTTATTGTTATTACATATTATTTTTCTAATTATACTATAGATTTAAAGGTAAGGGCAATATTTTGTCTTTATATTCTCTAACATCTATGAAGTGCTCTATTCATATGATGTTAAATCAATATTTGTAAAATATCTTGGTGAAGATGCTACTTAACAAGAGGAGACAAGTAAAGATACATTAATGAAACAATAACTCAAAGGCTAGAAATAAAGTGATTTGATAAAATATTGCAATGATTTATATATATGGTGATAATCTTGAGTATACTCAGTGACAAAATAAGTTGAGATATGATTATATAATGTACATGACTATTAGCTTTCTGTTGCTATGACAAAATAACTGAGAAAATCAACTTATAAGGAGGAAAATTTTATTTTGCCTTATGCTACTAGAGATATCAGTCCATGATCATTTGGTTGCATTGCTTTGGGCCTGTGGAAAGGACATGGCAGGTAGTGCTGCTCACCTCCTGAAAATAGGGAGGAAGCTGGATCCCTTTATCCATTTTAAGGACACATCACCAGTTATCTAATTTTCTTCCACCAAACCCTACCTCCTCTTAAAGGTTCTACTAAGCAAATGCATCACCATCTGGCAAACAAGTATTTAGCATGTGAGCCTTTGGGGCTCATGTGAAAAAGGTCCAAACAGTAACAATGACCATGAAT